TAGAAAGCTAAAAAATACAAAAACATAATTTGAATACAGAGCTGTAGAGTTACACCAAAGCCATGGCAGATGTAAAATATATACTATTTATAAAACGGTTAGTTCCAATCCTTGATTCTGATTGGTCAATAGCTGTGCTTTATTCACGATAAAACACGGCTATGACCGCTTCACCCAACGGTTCTATGTATCACTACACAACACCCCTAGCAACCACTCTTAGCAACTTAAACAGATGTTTCATCTCATTGATATTGTTCATTTAAAGCTAGAGCAGAGCATTGTGAGAGATCGAGTAAGCGAGTGTACCTGCATTTACAGTAGACGTAGCATTTTCCTTCAGGTCAGTCCTATATTCATAATAAAAAAATGCGTTTGAATGTCCGCTGCATATTTTGTCCTTTTAACAGTCATGGGGTTTTCCGTGCATAACGTTAGTCATCTGTCAGTTGCGTCTGTCTTCTCCGTGATCACAAGTTCGAGTCCTTTCAAAAGCCTTCTCTACAGACTCACTCACTCACTCACTCATAAAGACAGTCTTTGCCGCCATCTATTGGCGAAATAATATATGTAACTTCTGTTGCTGTTCACGTTCCGGGACTATTTTTTCCAGCGGAAGGCAGGCTTTTAGTGATTTTACTTCATGAAAGTTGCATAGATACATATTTTTCGGCTTTAATATTTTTATTGTGTGGCAACCGTTTTATAAAAGCAATAAGGTACTCGAGGCAAGTGCTGCATGGTGAATAAGTAACGGCTAAAGGGGTTGCAGGCACTCCGCTTCGCGTCGTGCCTAACAACGCCCTCCAGCCGTTACTTATTCACGATACAGCACAGCCTCTCGTACCTTATTGCTTACATATATATATATATAAAATTTCAAGTGGTGAAGGACCTGTCAAGTTAAGGACCCCTACTTTACCCTCATATCAGTGCGTGTGATGAAGCCCTTTCCCTCGCTGTCACAGATCTGAAAGAAGTCCTCTATTTTGTCCAACATAGCAATGTGTCCCCATCCTGCGTTCTTCTTCACACTTTTCCTTGGCTGCGGTTTCGGCTGCTTCTCATCCTGGTCTGAGCCACTCCTGGTGACCCGTGTGTCTCTAACGTGTCCGATCTCTGACATGATTCCAGCGCTGCTTACCTTGGCCGTCTTTGAACAGGTCAGGATACAATGTAGGCGAGAGACTTGAGAGCACAACTGGGACGGAATCCAAAGCTAGATCCAATACAGGGAATTATGCTGATTAATTCAGGAATCATCATTTATTGTCTTGTACTGAATGCCTGCATGGGTCCCAGGCAGCAGAAAGAAACAGAGAAAGAGCAACACATCAGCAATCCTTATCGTCATTAGGAATGTTAAGACTTTGAGAAGTGAAATGCAGATTAGTCTTAGTCATCATCACTGGCACTGCTGACGTTATTGAGCAGACCTGTCCCACCACCACAATGTCAAGGGGGAACAGGAACAGGTTTCTGTGGTAAAATTTCATGTTTGATCTCAAGTCGATCTTGCTAAGGGTTGAAAGAGGGGGTATCAAGTAGTTTATATTGCAAGAACCAATTAAAATGAACTTTTACATAATTGACTGACAGATAAAGGTTGACAGTTGACACATCCTGAGTTTAACAATAAATAAGAGTTGAATGTTAGCGCTCTGTGTAATTTGTGACATTAAACTAAACACGTGATGAAACACTGATTTCATGACGCCTCAAACTAAAATTCCATAGCCTGTAAAAGGCAAGTTCTAGAGGAATTCACCTGATTTTTCACGAGAGATGATATTACTGCGCCGAGTCGAAGTGCTCCCAAGCACTTGCTATGGTATTTTGCCATACAATTGTATGGCAGAACAATTGTATACTACATTAATCTAGTTTTCCATTTTACACGCTTAGAAAAGCGCAACGTTTTATTTTGTGTCACCGTTCTTGGTGGAGTTACACTCCTCTAGTAACTGTATTTAAATAGGGAAAACGTGGAGGTGTTTGGTCGCTTCACCTAGTTTAATATGAAAAACCAGTAGAGTAGGCTATCCCTTTAAAAACATTTTATATGCCGTGAAAAACCTGCATCTAGAGGTTTTTTTTTATTTTTGAAACTAATTTGATGTAGTAAAATGTTTCCATTTCCATTTCTTCTAGAATTAACCATCATCATGTACGCTAAACTAATATGAAACGGCCAAATAATCAAGATTGCAGGGCAAATTTAAATGATTGTCAGTGAAAAACCATTTCCCGCCAGAGTGATAGGCCTACAATCTAGAGCCATTCCACCGAATGGGTGACATTTTTTTATAAAATGCCATTTTATACGCTTTTGCATGAAAAAATGTCACCCATTCGGTGGAATGGCTCTAGATTGTAGGCCTATCACTCTAGCGGGAAATGGTTTTTCACTGACAATCATTTAAATTTGCCCTGCAATCTTGATTATTTGGCCGTTTCATATTAGTTTAGCGTATAAAATGTCATAAAATGCATGAAAATATATAATATATAATTATAAAATGCATGAAAATAAACTCTAAAATAATTTTTTTATTAAGCAAAGTTTCCCGCACATTAAGCTAATGGCACATTTAAAATGTATAATTAAAAACACATAGGCCTACATAAAAACTAGAACACACAAAAAAATTGCATTTGTTGCATGTCCCCACAAACCTTACCATGCAATATAGGGTAATGATTAAAATCCTTCAGAAATCTTATTTTTGTTGCATTGTTGTGTGACTTTATATCTAATTTATGCTTAAAATGTTTTTTTTTTATGAGAAAAAAATATTTAATCTAATATCTTAGATAAAATACACATTTTAGTCGTGTCCCCAGGTTTTCACTCACTTTTCACTCTAACATCTTCCCCCCTCTGGAAAACTTGAAACATGCCACAAGACAGGAAGTAGCATCATCTGGATCTTCTGAAGGCAATGGGAAGACCATAAGTAAGTCCTCTTATTTTAATTTCTGTATATTTGAATAAATTGTAAATATGACTGAGAAGGTCAATCTCAACGTACCTAAAATCTGTTACCTAAATTGTTAGATGTTTTTTTTTTTTTTTTTTTTAAATATGAACTTTTGGTAAATCACTAGAATTTGCTCAGTGTCCTCATTCTATTAGCATGAATGCTATGTGACCATATGTCATGTATTTGATAACCTTTTGCTTAAAAACTCAAATCCTGTTACTTTCAGTCCTGTTACTCAAATGAAAAATAACAGGAGTGAGTTAAAGTAACAGGAGTAAGAAGAGTCCTCTGTTTTGTTGATTTAATATTGTAAATATTAGTTGATACTATTCACCTGAATTATGAGTTTTAAGGTTGCAATTACTTAAATTAGACATTAGTATAGTTTTACATTGTGAATACCATGCTTCAGGGAACCAGTCCACCACGAAGTGACTTAAACTTTTTGTCTTTGTCTTTCTTATATTTTGTAGAAGATGGAGAGAACCCATACTATTCAGGTGCCGAAACACCCACCCGGCATCCTGCAAGGGAAAGAGCGAAACACACAGAAACCCTCTCTTTTCCCTCTTTTTGTCTCTCCCTCTTCTCTCTTCTCTCTTCTCCTCTCTCTCCTTCTTTCTCTTTCCACCTCCTTCACTGTGAAGTATTACTGGCACAGACAGAGTACCTACATCACTTCAACACAGAAATCTCATGCGCACACAGTCATGTACACTCTCTCTCATACACACATGCACACGCATATGGACACTCATTGTTACCCAATGTTCATTCCTAATACCAAGTGTTCATTCCAGTTACTCATTTTTTTTTCTTCTAAAAATAAATAAATAAAGGTAAACCACTGTTTTTGTCAGTTTTGTTTGGTCCATCATTTATAGAATTGTTTAATAAATTAAATTATTTAAAAAAATGGATAACCTTGAGGCTTTGGTCTTCTTTCAAATGAAAAAAAAAAATCGTTTTATGTTTTTTATTAAAATACACCTTGCCTTAAGATAGTGTTTTTTTTTTTTTTTTTTTTTTTTTTTTTTTTTTCACAAATATCAGTTATTTGAATATAGCTATAACCAACAATGTCTTAAAAATAAACACTTAACTACGGGGAAACAAAGGAATTAACTGGCATTCTTTTAAAAATGCTTTTAAAATGGGACATGAGTTTCGGTAACATGACTGAGAAAACATGCGTCTATCTTCTGCTTAGAAACCTTGTAAAAAATAAAGTTACCTGAGATTGACCAATACACATTTGTAGTATTAGATTCATTGTTGAAAAAAATATTTAAGTTTAATTTTGAAGTTATACAATAAGCAAATGTCACCCATTCGGTGGAGTGGCCCAACAGCAGATCAAGTGTAAAATCAATGTGCAGTGAAATGAGCTCTACTACATGAAACAAGTTACTTATAAATGTTGCTAAAGGTGAAGAAAAACCACTGATTGCCGTCCTGAAATACGTTCACTCTCCCTCATGTGCAACACTAGAGTCTTTACAATAAGAGTTTTGCTGCCATCTGCTGGACAAATACAGCATTACACGCACATTCATTGCTGTTTTTTAAAATAGGTTTACCTATGTAGTAGATCATATTTAGGCCTAATTTATTTAATACAAATATATCTGAATAGCTTAGCAACAATATAGTTTTAACTATGGTGTAATACAATTTTATTTTTAGAATAAAGAACAAAGCAATAAATTCCACATATAGTATAATATTATGCATAATTTATCCAGAAACAATGAGATTAAAATGTTACATTTATTAAAATAATTCATGAAAAAAATTGTTCTACTTCTACTAAGTTACAAGTGTTGAAGTGATTAGACTTACATAAATCAGTCATCAGTATCTCCTGTGTGCAGGTGCAGGCTTTGATGCTGAATATAACCTGTAGTGTTTTTGTATCAATTTCCTTTAAGTTGTGTGACTTTATATCCATGCTGACTTATCAAATATATGATTCTATCCTCTGTGAAGTGTCTTTTCATGGTGGAGGAGGAGTCCCGCAGATGTTCTCTTGATATATGGAGAAAATAAAAATGCTGCTTTGTGATTTGTCAGTGATTATGTTTGATGATTTCCTCTGTTGTGTCTAATAAGGTAACAGTGAGTGTCATTGGCAGCTGTGAGAGTCTCTCTCTCTTTAGGGGACTGACAGGAGCCAGTTTCTTCAGTGTGTGTGTGAGGGAGCAGGGGAGAAACAGAGTCAAACAAACAGTGTGACGAGCAGAAGAAGATGGAGGGATTTCTGACACTCGTTTTACTCTCCTCTATAGTCACTATAAACACATCTGGTAAGTACAAAATAGACTTAAGATGTAAAATATAACTTTTTTTAAATAAGCAGTTTGTCTGTGATATCTAGAAACTTAAGATCTTGTGACACTATATCATTAATTATCAATTACATTTTACAAATGGTTTGAGCTTTTACTGGCAACCAATTTTTTATTCAATCATCAGTTTTAATATATTATATTTATATTTACCAACTTTTTACATCTTATGTTTCTTGACTTTGCATGATTCGATCCCTTTCTCTCTCTTTCATGTACAGATTTTGAGACTGTGAGGTTAGTTGGTGGGAACAGTCCCTGTGCTGGTAGAGTGGAGGTTCATCATGATGGTCAGTGGGGAACAGTGTGTCATTACGGCTGGGATATGACTGATGCTGGAGTGGTGTGTAGCGAGATGGGATGTGGAAAGGCTCTAGAGGCTGTGTATAATGCTCGCTTTGGACAAGGATCAGGACCAATCTGGATGGATGCTGTGGCCTGTAGTGGATCAGAGTCTACACTGAAGAACTGTGGATCAAGAGGATGGGGTGGTCATTATCGCTGTGGTCATTATCATGATGCTGGAGTCATTTGCACAGGTGAGCGGCTCATACATCACTCTGTTAATGCATCACTGATCATGGTTCAACATGCACCAATACTCAACTTTTCTATATATCCTAATTATTTGTTAACAACATGTATTCATTACTTCAATGAGCTCACTGTTTCTGCCTTAAATTAATACATTGTTTAAATGAATAAATTATTAGCTTAAACTGTGTGATTTATATATGTACATTTCAGAAATACATAACTTGGACACAGTCACTCACCTGTGATAACAGATCACTCTAAATTGTAATGTGCATTTTCTGTAAAGATGCTCTGAAATGATATGTATTGTGAAAAGCGCTATACAATTTTTTTTTAATGTTCATCCACAAATATTAAAATAGCTTGGTGTAATTTGTTTTCAGAGCAACTCATAAACAATTTGTTGAATAATTAACATGTGTTATTGGCTAAAGAACGAATTAATTTTCATCCATTCTAAAAAATATTTAATTAAATTAAGTTTTATGTAAATAAAGTTCGGGAGGAGCATGTTTAGGTAATCATCCAATCAGCACAAGAAGAAAGCCTTCCCTTACCTCCTGTCTCATGACTAATTTCGCAGCACCCCACCTCCACCCCTTCACCCCACATTCGGCTGGGTCCGCTCATAGATTCCTATGATCTCTAAGGTTATGGGGGGAGTACTCTGGGGTCGGGCCGAATTCTGAGCTCGGAGCCCTCCCCCCGGACAGCAAGCCAAATACGCATTATAATATTACATCAGATTTCATTAACATTTAAACTCGTGAATTAAAGGATAGTGACTTGCTGTTGTTTTATGTCTGTATAAAAATGATAGTGCCAGATGCCTCTTCAGGACATAACACATCCAATTAAAGTGTTCTTCTGTGCTATCTCTCAATATAATCAGAAAGCATAAACTATGGACGGTTTACAAGACTTGATGATGGACCTCACCTGTGCTCTGGGAGATTAGAGGTTCTCCGTGGGAACACCTGGTACACAGTGTGTGACGCTGCCTTTGACCAGCAGGATGCAGAGGTTGTGTGTAGAGAGCTGGACTGTGGAGCTCCTGTACAAGTGCTGGGAGAAGATGCTTTTGGCAAAGGAGACGCTCAGATGTGGACACAAGAGATTCAGTGCAGAGGAAATGAATCACACATTCGACGCTGTTCATCATTAACCTCACATAATATACACTGCACCCATGAACACAACGTGGTGTTCTGGTAAAATATCAATGTTCAGCCTCTCTACTGTATAGAGGAATATAATTATTAAATACTAAATCTAATTATTTGATCAGTTTCTTCTTCGTTTGATCAATTTCAGTAAACTCTCTGTTCTTTGTCCAGGTTACACTGACCTCAGACTGGTCAATGGTCCTGACATCTGTTCTGGTCGAGTTGAGCGTCAGTACTTCAGTAAATGGGGCACAGTGTGTGATGCATGCTGGGATATGAGAGCTGCCAGTGTCCTCTGTAGACAGCTGAATTGTGGGATTGCTGTGTCTGTTGTGGGATCAGACTGGTTTGGAGAGGGAAGTGGTGAAATCTGGGCTGATGTGTTTGATTGTGACGGGAATGAAACAAAACTCTCAGAATGTTCCATCTCTTCATGGAGTCGAGCTGAATGTTCTCATAGACGAGATGTTGGAGTCATTTGCTCTTGTGAGTCGAAATTACTAGAAGATTTAATAGTTCACATAGTTCAAGATTAATGCCCTTTGTCGTTTATTTTTAATTGATTTGTTTTTATGTAAAATGTATTACTGATGTACATATTCTCAAACTTGCAATATTTCAATTAAACATCAGATCTTCTCTCTAGATTCCTCTCTGGCTGTTCATGATGGTCTGGTGCGGTTGTCTGGAGAAAGACAGTGTGAGGGGGAGCTGGAAGTTTCCATCCATCAGGTCTGGAGGAGAGTTCTGCTGGACTCCTGGAGTCTCACTGAATCCTCTGTGGTCTGCAGACAGCTGGGCTGTGGCTCTGTGCTGAACTTCTCCGGCTCCTCTTCATCCAGTCCTGAACACAGTCATGAGTGTGTGATGGGCTTCCAGTGCTCTGGGAGTGAAGCTCATCTGGGGAACTGCAGCTCTCCACAAACTCTCAACTGCAGCTCCACACAACAGCTGTCAATCACCTGCCTTGGTGAGAACAACAACATCTGGGCAGATTCTTCAGTTGTTAGTGATCAATAATGTGTTTTTCTCTCTCTGAATATCAGGTCGCGGGTCCATCAGGCTGGTGGGTTCTGGGGGAGACTGTGCAGGGAGGCTGGAGGTTTTTCACAGCGGCTCATGGGGGACAGTGTGTGATGACTCCTGGGATATTAAAGATGCCCATGTGGTGTGCAGACAGCTGCAGTGTGGAGTGGCCCTCAGTAACCAGCAGGTACCAGCCTGGTTTGGTCCTGGTTCTGGACCCATATGGCTGGATGAGGTGGAGTGTGAGGGGAATGAGACGTCCCTGTGGAACTGCTCTTCTCCAGGCTGGGGGAAACATGACTGTCAACACAAGGAGGATGTAGGAGTCATGTGTTCAGGTAAATGGTAAACTATCATTTAAATAATAGCATTTAAATAACCTATAAAATGTGCCTGATAATATCCAGTATACTCGCATTATGCACATCAACAGCAGTGTTGGGAACTGAGAATAGGTTCTTATTCAGAAAATATTTAGAAAATATTATAACCAATTTCGGTAAAGTTTCTTCCACATGCACTTTTCAATGCGGATGGAATACTGTAATAAAATAACCTGACAGAGTTTTCTGAAGTTCTTACTTATCAGTACTGCAACACAGCATTACTGAATCTACAGCATGAAATGGAAAGCACAACTAATGTAGTCCGATTGCTGAATTAATGACTTTCATGATTTGGTTCTTTTAGTGAATCAAAAGCACACAGCATATATAGTGTTGTGACTTCTGAACAAATGGGTCAATTCTGTTCAGTGAATCAAAAACATACAGTTTAGAACCAACTCTGAAAATTGAAATGTAGTTACTGACTGGATGCTAATACAACAAAATGTCGCTAAATATACATATTGTGCATTTGGTCAGTAGTATTTTATAAATATGAATAAATATAATATTTTTTTCACATTTTTGTTTGTTTAAAATTGTTGAGTATTACATTATATCACCCCCAAAACTATGGAGGACCAACTCTACCATATTTAAAAATAAATACAGAAATAAATAAATGCTCAATAAATAAATAGGCATACAATTAATTGCACCAAAAAATACAATAAACAAATAAATGTAGGTAGAAATTAAATTATACAGTGAGACATAAATGTGTATATCTCTTTTAATTAGCTTCTTTATTTATTCACCTTTGTAATAATTACCTTATTTATTTATTGTCCATTATAATCTTCAACTTTATTTATTAATTACTTATTTTTTGAAGTATTTATTTATGTGCATGTTATAATATTTTTGTCTGTTTTATTCTTCCTTTGTATTTTTTTACCCTATTTATTTCTTCAATGCTATTTATTTCTGCCTGTCGTTTTTACATTTCTGTATGCATTTCTGCCTCATTATGCAAATGAGGAGGGGCTGTGTCTTAAGGGGTCAACTTCTGCCCATAGAGAGCCTAAGCCCCTCCCCTCTGCTTCCGGCTCATGGGACCTTATTTCGGAAAAAATATGTTTGGTAGTCAATGGCGAGAGACAACTTATCTTTTTATTCCGTCTGAACTGTGCCCTGAATTACACATATGATGTTTGTCAATTTAAAAGATAATTATGAAAGTCAAGAAAGTCGCAGTTTGTCATAAAACAGAAGAGTGACATTTAGTTTTATGTGAAAATCGCTTAATGAACTACATCTCCCGGGAAGCGAAACAACGAGCGAGATCCGCTGCTCGTGTGTGTGCAGTCTGGTACAAAACACTCAGGCATGACGGCGTAACGTTACGATTATAACGTAACGGAACAAATGACAGACGTTAGCTTCAGTAAAGTTAGCTTCATTCATTGAGAGAAAATGTGCGCCTTTTGGGTTTGTAGTCTTTTTAATTACGTATTTTCGCAGTCTTATACCTCAACAGTTTTACATCAAACTGCGACTTTCTTGACTTTAAAATGTATCTTTTAAATTGACAATCAGGGATGAGTTCCCTAATGAATATTAATGAGTCTTCCCCTACCACCCTGCAAAAAAAAAAATCGCGGCCGGTGGCATGTAGATTCAACCGATGCAGTAAAATGCTAACCAACCAATGGGCAGAAGTTGACCCCTTAAGACACAGCCCCTCCTCATTTGCATAATGAGGCAGAAATGCATACAGAAATGTAAAAATGACAGGCAGAAATAAATAGCATTGAAGAAATAAATAGGGTAAAAAAATACAAAGGAAGAATAAAACAGACAAAAATATTATAACATGCACATAAATAAATACTTTAAAAAATAAGTAATTAATAAATAAAGTTGAAGATTATAACGGACAATAAATAAATAAGGTAATTATTACAAAGGTAAATAAATAAAGAAGCTAATTAAAAGAGGTATATACATTTATGTCTCACTGTATAATTTAATTTCTACCTACATTTATTTGTTTATTGTATTTTTTGGGGCAATTAATTGTATGCTTATTTATTTATTTCTGTATTTATTTTTAAATATGGTAGAGTTGGTCCTCCATAAAACGACTGAAAAGTTACTAAAAAATATGTGTATATACCCTTTGTATGAATTGTTTTAAACATATTTATTATTAAAATTATCTCATTCTTTTAAAATGGATTTGCATTTTGTTTTTCCAAATATTTATACCTTAAAAGCACTAAAAGAAGCATCAATTGATTTAAACGTCAAATTATTTTATGGTTTCCATCTCAAATGAACAGATTCACTTGAGTTTACATTGATTTTCATCCTTTTCCATCTAGAGTTTAAAGAGATCAGGTTAACTGAGGGCTGTGAAGGGAATGTGGAGGTTTTCTACAATGGATCCTGGGGAAATGTGTGTTACCATACGATGAACAGAGACACAGCGAGTCTGATCTGTCAAGAGCTGAACTGTGGAAGATCTGGCAGTGAACCCAGTAATGCAGAGGGACTGAAGTCTCATAACTGGCTTGAATTTTTTAAATGTCGGCAACATGACTCTGCTTTATGGCAGTGTCAATCTTCAGCCTGGGGACAGTGTGTATGTCCTAATGAAGTGGCCAAAATCACCTGCTCAGGTAAGATAATTTTTAACTGATTTAAGATAGTTCGACATGATCATATTTGGTTCAATATTATTTATGTCTAATATTCTGATTAGTGATGTTTTGAAACTTTAATATTTCAGAGAAGGAAAATCATGAGTCTCCTCAGAGTCGTCTGACATGTTCAAACTCTCCGTCTCCTCACCAGAGACAGTGTTCAAGTAAGTTTATCATAAGCTTATATTTCCTTTTTTTCTTATATATTTTTTTGTACAGTAAATTTTTTTTTATTCCACAGTCAAAATTAATCACAGCTTTAAAGTCCTCCAGTTTCAGTGTGTGTTTGTTGTAAATGTTGTGCTGAAGCTGGTCAGTGATGTTGCTGTGTGTGTTTTAGAGCATGTTCCTCTCAGACTGAGTGGAGGTTTGGGCCGGTGCTCTGGGAGGCTGGAGGTGTATCATAACGCTGTGTGGGGTTCAGTCTGTGCTGATCTGTGGGACATCAGCGATGCTCAGGTGGTCTGCAGGCAGCTGGGTTGTGGAGACGCACTGAGGGCTGATGGGAATTCAGTCTTTGGTGCTGGTGAAGGTGTTGTGTGGCTGAACAGAGTCGAGTGCAGAGGGAATGAGATTCACCTGTGGGACTGTCCTCTCTCCCTGAAGAATCACACTGACTGTTCTCACAAAGAGTACGCTGGACTCACATGTGCAGGTCACAATAACACACTGACAAATAGTAGTCATTTTAATGCTAATAATCTTTGTCTATTTGCATGATTTTGAATGTGTTTATGTCTGTTTTGCCAGATTTGTCAGTGTCCACTACTCCTGCCACAACAACATCAGCTTCTCCTCCAGTTTCTCAGACAGTGCGCTCAACATCAGTCACTCCTCCACAAACTCCTCCAGCAGCGTCTCTCTCTGTGCTTGTGGTTGTACTGGGAGTTTTGCTCTTACTGCTCTTAGTGCCCCTGCTTATACTGGTTCAGCAGAACAGAGTGATGAGGAGAGGTAGGAGAGATCCAGAGACTGTCATATTGTGTCTTATTCAGTGTGTGATCAGTCATGTGTTGTGAACTGACAGCAGGTTTGTCTGTCTACACTCACAGCTCTCTCTAAGAGGAGACACAGGGCGACGACTGAGGCCGTTTATGAGGAGATTCATCACAGACACAATCACTTCACTCAGAGAGGTGAGACATGAGACATGAAACTTATTTAATATGATTATTAAGAGAGTCTGTCAGACACTTGATGTTCATATTATTAGTCCTGTTAAACCTCCTGATTCAAACCAGAGAATTCCTCACAGAAAACCACAGAGCTGCAGGTGCATGTATATGTGTGTGTGTGTGTGTGTGTGTGTGTGTGTGTGTGTGTGTGTGTGTGTGTGTGTGTGTGTGTCTTCCTGTATGTATTTTTAGAGGGTAATAAGGTGCGTGTGTGTGTGTGTGTGTATTTGTTTCTTCCTGTGTGTATTTCTGGAAGGCAGTGAGGAATGGGTTCATGTGAGGATACATGTGTGTTTGCTAATAGGCCTAACAACAAACAAACAGAAACAAACATGAGATTTCTGCCTCTAATGTTTTTAAAAAAGTAAGAGTTTTATGATCCAATGGAAATGAGGATTCAGTCTGTTTGTGATGATGGACATTTTTTCTGATTGTTTTTCTCTCCTTTAACAGGAGGGAGTCTCGTCTCTGAAGAACTGCATTCTGGATATGAAGATGCTGATGAGCTTCTCTCAGGTTAGACAGCAGAAGCGCATATTCATTCCATCCAAAATACTTTTTCATTGAAATGAACCTAAATAAATAAATGTAATTAACAAATTCTAATAAATATTTGACTAATGACACTATACCTTTTAAATACTGTTGTTTATTTATATATCAACATTATGTTCTCCTTTTTAGCAAAAGATTTCAAGACTGTATATTATGATGATGTCACCAATAGCAGTGGCCTGAAAGGTCAGTGACCTTTTTAATTGATCACATGATTTATTACCAGATGATTAATAACTTTGGTCTCATGACCTGCAACAAGAACAAATTTTGGGTTTTGTATCCAAACATATTCTGTGGAATATCACACCAGGATACTACGATGATGTCATCACTGATGGACTGAAACCAGATCGTGAGACAGGTGTCGTTCTGTTATTCTATAATAGCATATTGAAATACTTCAGTACCGGTATATTAAAGTTACATAAGTATATTAACTGATTAAAAAAGTATTTTGAATGTGATTAATTTGTGTGTTTGTGATGAATGTGTGATTTTGTAGAAGACACCCCTGAGAGCTATGATGACGTAATCACCAGTGGACAGAACTCTTATATCAAAAAAGGTTTAATTTTTTTTTTTTTTTTTTATATTCCTTTAAAATAAACCTCATAACTGATAATATTTTAAAATTACTCTCTTAATGTTTTTTGGCTTCTATTTAACTTTTTTGGGCTTATATTTGCACGTGTAGTTAACATGCTAGAGAATTATGATGATGTCATCATTAATGGACAGACCTCGCAAATAGGTGGGTTGAACAGAACTACATTAATTTTCACCCTTACATGTTTACATGAGTATTAGACATGAGTTTTGTATATAATCAAGTCACTTAAAGGTAAAAATGATCCTTCAAATAAGACAAAAGATGTGTCCCAATTCAGAGGCTGCATCCTTTGAAGGCCACGAAGGTCGGATCAAACATTGTTAAATGGGACGGTCTACAGGCGATTGTTCTTGTCGCCTAGCAACTGTGACAGCTGACATTATAGAGCGGCAGTGACTTTGTACTGGACTTTTTGGAAAGTTTTATCAAACAGTCTGAAACCAAAACCGGGTTCACAAACTTTCTAAATATGTTCACTATGGTCCATTTCTATATAATAAAGAGTATAAACTATATATAATCACATCTTAGTAAGATATGTCAACATTTGAACCGCTTTAACGTTTTTTATTTTTATTTTTACATTTGTATCGTTAGATATTTGAGTAAGCTGAAAGGCAATGCTTGCATTTAAAAGTGTAATTCGGCAATTTTTCTACAAAAATCCTGTCGCCACCAGAGCGCAATGCATCCTGGGCCAGGCAAGGCCACGGAGGATCCGTCTGTTGTATCCTTCATTTCACAGGAAACAAAGGCACATTTGGAGGCCGCATTTGAAGCAGACAGGGAGAAAGTCTTCGTCGCACTACGGTGACACAATCGGCCTTCGAATGATGCAGCATCTGAATTAGGACGCAGCAAAAGTGTTTTATATTCTGATGTTTTTTTATGTCATTCTTGATCAGAGGGAGTTCAGGAGGACTATGATGATGTGATGAGTGTGAGTGAAGATGTGAGAAACCTGTTAGGTAAGTTATTAAGTTAAGTTATTGTTAGTATGTTTTCCAGATTCATAGACTTCAAAAAATTAATCTGATTATTTACAACATTAATTAAGATTTTGTTTTTAATAAAAGATTATGATGATGTGGAGGAGGAGTCCAAAAAAGAAGGGGGGCCATTCGGCTCAATGACCACGCCGGTTCAAGAAATTTGAAGACTCATAAGTTCGAGTGAAATTGCTATTGATATATCAAATCTCAGGTTTTATGTGTTTTTTTTTTTGTTTTTGTTTTTTAAATGTATATGCCTCTGTGTGATTTTGTATGGTTTATTATGACCTTGTTAATAGCAGTAAAACAAACAACAATGCCTTTTCTGCAAAATTACCAAAATAAACAAAAATGTTATGTAACAGCCTCACCATGGTGACAGTAGTACTTGAATTTTTATGAGTGGATAATGCTGATTTAAAAAAAAAAAATTATATATATATTTTGGATGCATTAAATAACTTTTACAATAACCCTGTTAGTTGATCTGTATCAAATATTATTATTTTATGTGGTCAGGCGTGTTTTAACCAGTAAATAAATATGCATATTGCTTGTCTGTTTGCCATTTTACTTTTAAATCCATTCTCAGGCTGTAGATGAATGACATGTGAAGGCCAATGGTTACCCATACTCTGAAATGTTTCTCTCCAATTGAGTGCACACACATTAGCAGTAATGAACACACACACTGCAAACTGTGGACACACACACTCGGAGCAGTGGGCAGCCATTTTTCTGTGGCGCCCGGGGAGCGATTGGGGGTTAGGTGCTTTGCTCAAGGGCACCTCACTCGTTTCCTGCCGGTAGGATATTGAGAATCAAACCCACAATCTTTGGGTTCCAAGTCTGACTCTCTAACCATTAGGCAATGACTGCCCAACAAAGGGAAAGTGACATGTGAAGGTAAAGTATGTGTCATAATGTGGGTCTTGTGTCCTGTCATGTTTAGTGTCATTAGAGTCTTGTCATTAGTTTTCCCAGGTGTTTCCCATTTACCACGCCCCCTTGTTATCCTATCTAGCTCGTGTGTCTGATTATTTAAGCCCTGTGTTTCTGCCCTGTCTTTGTGAGTTGTTATATATGTTTCAGGATTAACGTGAGTGTTGGTTTCCCAGTGTTAAGATTCTTGTTCCGCGTTCTGAGTTTCTGTTTATTTAAATAAAGCGTGTAAACTGCGTTTGGTTCCAGCCTCCGATCTGCCTTCACCGCATCACGTTACAGAACAACTCACCGCAAAATGGATCCAGCAGTCGCTCCCACAGTTGTCAGCAACCAGGCCCTCAGAAGTTTCCTTGCCTCGATATTTCAGGAAGGCCAGTCCATCGAGAGGTATGTGAGGGACTTTATGTCGTGCTGTCGTCTGGGGGCTTTAGACGACCTCGAGCTCATGGACTTGTTTTGGAGCGGGTTGGACGAGGACGTTGCCCAGTTAATGCCGGATGACTGTACCAGCTGGACCCTGGAGGGGTATGTCAACCTGGCCCTCTTCAGGAGCGGTTCATCATTTACTGTGGGCGTGGAGGAGAAGCGGCGAGAGACCGCGCTTCACTTCAGCTCAGCCGAACCCGCGCTCCTATAGCCCGCGCTTCACGTCTGCTTAGCCGAACCCGCGCTGCACGTCTGCTCCGCCAAACCCACTCTTCGTGTCGGACCCCTCGAGCCCGTATTCCGCACTGGTCCTGTTGATTTTGCTAATCCAGAAACCGCGGCGGAGGTTTCACCAGCCGAACCGGAGTTTGAACGCGTGCCAGCCGGCGCGAACGAGTCAAGTGCCGCCGAGTCAAGTGAGTCAAGTGCCGCCGAGTCAAGTGAGTCAAGTGAGTCAAGTTCCAAGTCAAGTGAGTCAAGTTCCAAGTCAAGTGAGTCAAGTTCCAAGTCAAGTTCCAAGTCAAGTGAGTCAAGTTCCAAGTCAAGTGAGTCAAGTGAGTCAAGTTCCAAGTCAAGTGAGTCAAGTGCCGCCGAGTCAAGTGAGTCAAGTTCCAAGTCAAGTGAATCCAGTTCCAAGTCAAGTGAATCCAGCCCAGTGAAGCGCCGTCGCAGAAGGAAGAGAGGGAGGACTCGTTTGGCTCGCCAGGCTCCGGAGGGCGTTCCCAGACTCCTCGCCCTGCCGGCCCCGCCTCTGCGCCTCGCCCTGCCGGCCCCGCCTCTGCGCCTCGCCCTGCCAGCCCCGCCTCTGCGCCTCGCCCTGCCGGCCCCGCCTCTGCGCCTCGCCCTGCCGGCCCCGCCTCTGCGCCTCGCCCTGCCTGCGCCCTTCAAGCTCCGGGAGGGCTTTCCTGAACCCGTGGATTTCCCCAAGTATTTTTTGCGGGGGGGCCAAGGGTCCGGTGAGGAGACCATGAGGGCTTCTCCACCATGGCCACCCGAGGAGGCTTCACCTCCATGGCCGCCATCTCGTCCTGCTCCGCCCTGGCCGCCATCTCGTCCTGCTCCGCCCTGGTCACCGGCCCAGTCTGGTCCGCCCACGCTCTGCGGCCCAGGCCCGCCTTGCCTAGGTCCTGTTCCCGTTCCCCTGCACGGGCCTGGCCCTCCATCCCTCCCCCAAGACCGCCTGTGCTTCACCGCCCTCCTGAACTTTTTTGGGTTTTTTTGTTTTTGTTTTGTTGTGCGTCAGGAGCCGCCCTTAAGGGGGGGGGTTATGTCATAATGTGGGTCTTGTGTCCTGTCGTGTTTAGTGTCATTAGTGTCTTGTCATTAGTTTTCCCAGGTGTTTCCCATTTACCACGCCCCCTTGTTTTCCTATCTAGCTCGTGTGTCTGATTATTTAAGCCCTGTGTTTCTGCCCTGTCTTTGTGAGTTGTTATATATGTTTCAGGATTAACGTGAGTGTTGGTTTCCCAGTGTTAAGATTCTTGTTCCGCGTTCTGAGTTTCTGTTTATTTAAATAAAGCGTGTAAACTGCGTTTGGATCCATCCTCCTATCTGCCTTCACCGCATCACGTTACAGTATGGTAACCCATTTGGAGTCGGAATTTGTCCATCTGCATTTAACCCATCCAAGTTAGTGCACACAGACACACACACATTTGTTTGTTTTGTTATATAGGGCTATTTGTAAGTCAACAATCTGCAACATGTGAATGAACCATATGAATAACTTTGTAATAACTTTAACACTATATTAGGCTATGAGTTAATAATGCTCAACAAAAGAACAGAACCCCAGTGCAGCTTTATAGCCATGTTAAAAATAACATGTGGCAATAAATTTTTCCAATTTCATCTACAGTGTTGCAGCCATAAATGAAACCATATGGTAATGTCATTCTATTTTTTTGGTACTTTTAGTTTTCTTTTGGTTGAAAATTGTCCATAACTGCAGCTGCAAATGCAGATTTTGAACGTAATAAAGAGCTTCTTGATTGCTGACAAACGTGTGTGGTTGCAGGTTTCGTTTCAGTTGATATGGTAAAGACAAACTTTTTTTGTGTCTTGTTTTTCTCTGTGTTATAAAATACCTCCAAAGATTCAGTGTGCAAGTTTGAATCATTCAATTTACATTTTACATTTACATTTATTCATTTAGCAGACGCTTTTATCCAAAGCGACTTACAAATGAGAACAATAGAAGCAGTTAAACTAACAGTAGGACAACAATACGTAAGTGCTATAACCCCTCTCAGTTTAATTTTAGTGCAGTTTTTTTTTTTTTTTTATAGAATAGAAGAGAAGAGAAAGTGTTAATTCTACTGAATCAAGTGCTGCCGAAAAAGATATGTCTTCAGCAGTTTCTTGAAAGTGGCTACTGACTCAGAAGCTCTGGTTGAGTTAGGCAGATCATTCCACCAACAGGGAACAGCCATGGTAAAGGTCCGAGAAAGAGATTTTGTGCCTCTTTGAGATGGTACCACAAGACGACATTCGCTAGCAGAGCGCAGGTTTCTGGATGGCACATAAGTCTGAAGTAATGAGTTTAGGTAAGAGGGAGCAGTGCCAGTGGTTGTTCTGTAGGCAAACGTCAGTGCCTTGAATTTAATGCGAGCGGCAACTGGCAACCAGTGCAATTGTGTGAGGAGAGGAGTGACGTGTGCTCTCTTCGGCTCATTGAAGACTACTCTGGCTGCAGCATTCTGGATCAATTGTAGAGGTTTGACAGAGCAAGCTGGAAGACCAGCCAGGAGAGCATTACAATAGTCCAGTCTGGATAAAACAAGTGCTTGGACAAGGAGTTGTGTGGCATGCTCTGTAAGGAAGGGCCTGATCCTCCTAATGTTGTGCAAGGCAAATCTGCAGGACCGGGCAGTTCTAGCAATGTGGTCTGTGAATTTCAACTGATCATCAATTACAACCCCAAGGTTCTTAGCTGACCTTGATGGAGTTATGGATGACGAGCCTAGCTGAATGGAGAAGTTGTGATGAAGTGTTGGGTTGGCCGGGACCACAAGTAGCTCTGTCTTCGCAAGGTTTAGTTGAAGGTGGTGGTCCTTTATCCAGCCAGAAATGTCTGTCAGGCAGGCTGAGATACGAGCAGCTACCGTCGGATCGTCAGGCTGGAATGAGAGGTAGAGTTGCGTGTCATCAGCATAGCAATGATAGGAAAAGCCATGTTTCTGAATCACAGATCCTAGTGATGTCATGTAGATGGAGAAGAGGAGTGGTCCAAGCACTGAGCCCTGAGGCACCCCAGTAGCTAGATGTTGGGTCTTAGATGCCACACCTCTCCACGACACCCTAAAGGACCTACCTGAGAGGTAAGACTCGAACCATTGGAGTGCAGTTCCCTAGATGCCCTTCATCTTTAGGATTGACAGGAGGATCTGGTGGTTAACTGTGTCAAAAGCAGCAGACAGATCCAGCAGGATGAGGACTGAGGATTTGGAAGCTGCTCTTGCCAGTCTCAGAGCTTCAATTACTGAGAGCAGGGCAGTCTCAGTTGAATGTCCACTTTTGAAACCAGACTGATTGTCGTCCAAGAGGTTGTTCTGTGTAAGAAAGGAGGAGATCTGGTTGAAAACAACTCGTTCAAGTGTTTTCGCGACAAATGGAAGAAGAGATACCGGTCTGTAACTTGTTAGATGTGCTGGATTTAGATTGGGTTTCTTAAGCAGTGGGGTTACTCGAGCCTGCTTAAAAGCTGTGGGAAAGGTACCAGTGTGAAGAGAGGTGTTTATGATGTGCGTGAGTGTGGGTACAACTGAGGAAGAAATGGCTTGAAGTAGCTTAGTGGGGATAGGATCAAGCGGACAGGTAGTAGGGCGATTGGAAAGGAGGAGTTT